ATCCAGCAGCTCCCCCTCGACCAAGGAACTCAGTCACCAGCATTTTTCTATACCAGAAGAAATTACTTGCTCTCAACACCTTGTGCTAGTATGTGCTCCTTCCTTTAACAGGGCTTTATTTTTTTCAGCTCCACGTAACCAAGACAGCACTTGAATTATGCTTGTCAGAGTAACCTATAGACCATGGTAGCTGTAAAGGCTATTGCAAACTAGTTTGGTTGGACCCTGTGGGAAGAGGCAATACTGACCTTATCGGACCTTTCCTCCTGGAAACTTGCAGTGAGAATATCCAGCTTTGCAAGTGGGACCCTCTTCCCCTGTAACAGGCAAACACAATGCAAGCTCTTTCCTCCAAACCAGGAACAAAGAATGATGTTATTTCCTATGATTTGCTCTGGGAGAACTACATAGCGACACCAAATCATAGCAACAGAAATGAGAAACACTTAAGTTACTTAGCAATACTTTATTTAAAAAATTATTACAAAATATTTAAGACAGTTCTTAAGACCAAAAAAGCATAATACATTAGAAAAGACCACAGGTTTAGAATGGAAAAAATATTTAAGCATTTCAAAATTATTTAAATGGAAATTCAAGGCAACATTGGCAACAAAACTGTATAAAATTTTTATTTTATATATATATAACAGTACTGTATTATCACCCTGATTTAATAATCATTAAAAGTCACTTAAATTCTTAAAGGTATTAAAAGTGATAGATAGTTCTGAACAGCATAAAATTTAGTATCTAGAGATCTGCTTATGTTTACAACAATAGACTAAAACAAAGATAAATTTCCATCTTAAAGGCACTACCAGCATCTTGATTCGTTACGATTTTATATAACCTTTCAAAAATTTCACAAAGTATTTCCCTTCAGTGTAAAAAGCTTGGTATTTTTATTGCATAAATTTGAATGTGGATTACCATGATGGCCATTATGCAAAAACATCTTATGCAGAGCTCTGAGAATTGTGTGAGATAGCTCACTGCTTTTTCAAGCTGGAGGGTGCAAAGGTAAAACACAATTGTAACAGACCACCACCCTCCCCTGCGGTTTTTAGGCACAGAGTCCAAGCAGTAAGGCACAATTCCTTCACATATTTTGAACCCAAAGGGAACTGGTAACATTGGGATTTTAACATGGGCTAAATGCCACACACAAAAATTAACCATCAGTCTACACAATGCACGTGCAGATTTTCAGAGCAGAAACTCGTAGTCCAGCCACTTAACAAGTCCTTACGTGTCCTGGAGAATCCTCTGCAACGATTCTCAAGGCACTGTAAACAAAGCCTAAAAGTGGGTGCAGAGCCTTTAAATATTTTTGGACAGGCTCAACTGGAAAAGATGAAAGCTTTTAATGTGTCTGAGCAGGTTTGCAACACCACTGTCGAGCACCACGGTGAAGAAGGGAGAAGACAATCTCCAGGTAGATGTACTGGGCCAGTTGCTTCTTTCTACAGGTTTTACTACCAGTTAAGACTGTAGAAATGGTCACTTTGTAAACTGATGAAGAGGCAGCTGCTTGTAACAGAACTCCTGCTAGAGGCGACACCACTCTCCGGAACAATCCCTTCAGTCAAAATCAGCCACCTTAACATAAGCAATTTAAATAGCTGGTTTAAATAAAGCAAGCTGATTTCATCAGAAGCAGGCTGGGAAACAAGCAGACCGCTTTGCTGACAGAGCACTGGAGTGGTAAGAGACATCCAGCCACACACGCAGAGCTCCTGCAAAACCAGATGTTTAATCCAGCTCCAGCACCGTTCTCTGGGATCAGTCTAATTAAAAGACCGATACTCAAAGCCTGGATCCGACACCAGAAGCATCAAAGGCGGCATGTCAAGACTGCAGGAGACCAGTCTGCTGAGCCAGGGCAGCAAGGCAATCTCTCCCCCACCCAGCCCAGGAAGGCAGGACAGCAAGGAGGGACACATCTTGTATCTTAGGAAGCTGATAAAGCAGCTAAGAAAATGACCTTGTAGAAGCGGAGAACAGCACACGCACCAGCAATTCTGCTTCTCAACTATTTTAAAACAGAACATAACCAACACCTCATACTTAGAAACCTAGGATTACCAGTACCACCATGCAGAAACTGTTTTGTTAGCCAACAACTGGTTTGGAAGCAACAATTTAGCAATTGCCTTAAACCTACAACCAATATGCGGCTTGTCTGCTCCTAGTATTTAGCTACTGTGTGACAGATCAATGCCAGCTTGACAGCATCTGGGATGGAGCACTATGCATTGTTTTAAAGAACAGCAGGACTTCCCCTAGAAGTAAATGCTTGTGACATGTGGGAAAACAACTAGTCAGTTTCCCAAAGACTACCATTTGTCATTTTCATTAGCTGATGGCAACGCTTGGATCCCTTTCAGTCAGAGATGGAATCTGATCCTCAAATCACACACGGATCAGTCGGTGAGAAAATGGGTATAAACTACCTACTTGGAATAATTAAAATGAAAACAAAAAACGCACCAAACCCCCTGACTCTAACAACCTGAAACACACCAGGATGCCAGCATGTATGTCATAGGAGAATCCACCAAACCATTCAGCAAAGGATGGCAGTATTTGTTTCAAAAGGCCTAATAGATCATGGGAGTCAGGAGATCTCAGAGTCACCTTCTTTTGACACCAACTTCTTGTGGGACCTTTTCATAAAAGTAACTCGCTCTGTATTTCAATTTCTCTGTGAAGTATCAGCAGTAGATATCATAGATAAGGAGGCCAAGGCAGAGACATGACTTCACAGGTCCTTTTCAGTACCAGTATTGCCAATTCAGGAATGGACCAGTAACAAAGCACTTAGGTGGAGAAAAGCCTATAGCAAAGCAACCAAGACCCAGGACTCTCTTAGATTTTCAAGCCGAGAAAAAATACCTCAAGATAAAAGTCCCATCATGGTGCTGCATTTCTTAATAAATATCAGCAGCACAGTGTTAATCTTACACTATATTTACAGCTTTTAATTATACATCAAGGTTTAAAGCCTACAGACAGTGTGATGTGAAAACAAATTCAGTAGAATCCCGGGCAATAAAACCCCAAAAAACTCCTTTAGAATGTTAATCATAGATATGGACGGAATCCCCAAAGTAAGATGCTGCAATTCATAGCAGAGATATTTCTCATTACGGCAAGTTTCATATCACCAGTAGCATTGCTTGTAAACAAAACACCTCTAATCTACCCAGTTTTCAGAGAGAGCTACAGCAAGCTCTGTACACCTAGACTGAGATCAGGTTTTAGTGCAAATGAACACAAGGAAAAAAAAGCCAGTCCTAAGAGCATTTTGTCTTCACAAACCAGGAAATTCTATGAAGGAAAGTATGTCTTTTATGCATGGCTCTGAAACCAAGCTACAGCGTAAACTTTATGCTTCACACCACCTGTCAAAATTTTACATCCTCCAAGCAAAGTGTAGTGTTAGGCTTAAGTCTCAGGGCTTAGAGAGAGAACATCACAAACTCACATTCATCAGAAAGTGGCAGCACTGGAAGAAAACTCTGACCTTCTTTTACAGTCCTTTGTCTTACAACAGCTTCCTCGTCCTTTTCCAAATACAGCTTGCTCAGCCGATTTCTGGAGGGCTTAGTCTCAACGCTGCCAGAACAGGTTACAGGACTATAAATTTGTCAAGCTAGGGTACTGATGAAATAGAGTTAATGCCCGAAAGATATGGCAAGTGTCACGAGCACTCAAACAAGAATTGTTTTTGCATAATCAGCTTTTTCTCATTTGCTTTGGTATTTTGGAACATCTCCTAGCTTACAGCAATTTGCCCTACTTTTGAAGGCTTTCTTCTTAAGTGAGGTGTAGCCATCTTGCTTCTGCCTCAGACATCTGAAAAACGCCTTTCCACCACTTCATTTCTTTTACAGCCATCAACATCTGGTCTTGTATGGCCGTCACTTGTCTGATACATGTTGCATCAGTAGTGTTTCATGACGTCCTACAGCCTGTCACTTTTAAGACAAATCAAGGGTACAAATGCTTATTTACCTGTTTACCAACTGACCTAGTCAGTAGCAAGAAGTCTCAAGCTAGTGCCATATTTATAAACAAAGAAAATCGTGGGCGCCTAACCATTCCGGCAAACCTCACCATTTACTATGCATAAACAAGCTGCATATGGTATTAACCCTGCAAGTAATATTCAACAGGATAGTACCAATGTGCTGTAATGGTTTTCCCATCGATGTTCAGATTGCTACTTTTGGGGTTACTTTGTGAAAATATTTATTCTTCATCTTTTTCCTTTCAGAACTGGCTTTTCAAGTTTCTTCCTGCAACTTTTCTAGGTTTTGAAACAATCTGAAAGACGATTCTGGCATACAAGTTCCAACTTTGGCAATCACGGGGTACAAAACTGTCTCCTTAATACACCATTACATTACCCTCCCCACAAACCCCCTACGCTCGCTATTCCATTAAACTGATCTTCGCAGGCAGAACTGATGGGCAAAACCCATGAATAGTGAAAACCAAAACCCTTATGTAAGGATAAGCATTTCTGTAAGGCTCCAATTAGGTATGCCTTTTACATTCACAGTTTGACCAGTAAGTACAAAAATTAATTCTGCTGTACTAATTTATAACTCTTATCAGAGGTATCTGGTCCATTTATACAGAAAACATCTTTAGGGTATAGCTCAGAATTGATGCATCAGACATTAACCTTTATTAGTCACCTCTGCCAAAATCAAATCAGCACACTGATGTCTTTAAGTTACTCTATTTAGACACAAGTTTTTTAGTGTCTGTCACCTGGACAGGTGGCAAGACAAGTTATTAAGCAGGACCAGTTACCTTAGAACATGATGCTTAAAATGCCATTATTTGACCTAAGGATCTATAAAAATTTGTGACGAGCCATGTGTACAAAATTGATTAGAACAAAGAGACAGAAGTTGTTACCTACAGTGCACCAAAAGTTCATTTTAGTTTGCGCCATTCAAAAACAATTAAATAATCCCAGAAAGTTAGCTTTGTTTGTGCAGTGGCTGATTTTCTGTGGCATTCTGAGTGTTGCCAGGATTTTCAGAGCGTCTGTCGATGTTTTGTTTGCGACTGTGAAAATACTCTATAATAATTTCAGCTAAAAATGCACCACTTGCAAGAAATCCAAATGCCTGTGAAAGTGAAAGGGATATAAGATTTTAAAATGTACAAACATTAACAGTATTCTAACATTGTTCGGAGAGATTTGCTGGGCTATTTACATAAGTTCATAATGCTTATATATTAAGATTACAGTCCTCCTTAAATCAGTAGTTCCATTTAAATTAGAAACAGATCAGAAATCATAATTCTAGCACATTTAATGCAAAAACTTTTACAGATCTCATTCTCTTAATCAAGTGTGAACCTTACAATATGTTCTAAATAGCCCTTAATAGTAAAAGTATATCAATTTTATTGCAAAAATTAGCTATTAAAGCAGCATGGCATTGGTGGTATAGCAGAATATTTATCCAAGAGATGGCTCCTGATTAAAGGGAATAAGTGAAGAAGAGTAACACATAGAATGTGAAGGGAGGTAAGATCTGCAGAACCTAAGCAAGTCCTTACCGGGTCAGCAAGGGGGGATGAAATGACATTTTGTTAGACATTTCATTATTAGTCATGGCAAGATACTGGTAAGGAAAAGGTTGTTCTCATCAGCTTCTTTCAAACAAGGAAAGAAATACATCCATTATTCTAACTTCTACCTAAATTTTACTCAACTGGTTTGCCGCAAAGCAATTTGACACTAGTAAGTCTTAAATCACAATAGCTTTTGTTTTTCCAGCTCCAGAAAGAAAACTGAAACACTGTATACTCAAGCCATTAGGTCTGAGTAGATCAACATCACAGAAGATGACTACACAAAAGTGTGTATCTCTAATGCACTTATGCAGTTTATGCTGCCTGTGGAAGAGAATTACTTTACTTTCTTTTCTAACTCATTTTTTTCTCATTCAAGCATAAAATAAAAATTTGATCTTTTAAACTCACATATTCACAATTCCAAGGTTATTCAAAAGAAGTGCCAAATGAGTGAGGAATTACAACATTCACAGTATCCCAAAGCGTCTTCAGTGCCTTGCCCTGAGCCTCTTCAGTGTTCCCTGGGAGATGCATGCCCTATTGCTCTTCTAACTATTTCTATCACTGAGGAAACTGCTGCTCTTACTGCAGTTTTTGCAAGTCAGAATTCTCCACATATGCTTTGTAATGCCTGGCAAAAGATACAGTTTCTTGCTGACTTTGTGAGGGGGTGGCATTACGAAACGACAATGAAAGGATAAAAAGAAAAAAACCAGGCATTTCAGAGATGAGGATATCAGAGAACTGGGGAAGCTGTGAGAGATGGCAACGTTGAAACAGTGACAGATGACAGGGAATAATATGGAGCCAAGACAGTGAAGTCTGAGGAACCCAGAAGCAAGCTGCAAACGCTAGGGAGCTGCAAGTGCATGCAGAGCTTTCCAGCCATCCCGAGGAATGCCTGCTCTTTGGATTTCCTACAGTAAGTTTCTGGAAAGTCTGAAATAGCTAATTCCTCCTGAAAACTTTGCAATGCACTGAGTTCTGTTCCCTCCCCAGTTTCTTCCCTGCAAATGGAGTAAAGTTTAGAGGGCAGAGAAATTAATATAAAAGATAAATACAAAGTAAATCATGCAATTTTAAGACTTACACATGCAGCTTTTTCAACAGCAGACCCAGAGCTGGTCGCAGCAAGCACTATTGACGCTAACAGAAAACAGACACCTATGATTACCATGGCCCAACTATTCTGCAAATATAAAAAAAAAAAGAATGTTATAGAATTGTAGGTATACTACCTGAAAAAGAACAAGCATCATAACAGCAGCTGAGTTAATCTGACAGTGAATTTATGCTTTGAAACTCTGATGCTAATGGAAGTTTCAGAAAAAGTATTTTACAACTACATTCCAAACAACATTCAACATTATCAACTATTTAAAAGTCTGTGTTACATACTCCCCTGTTTTTGTCTCCTTTAAGTATTTCGTACATTTAATACAATTTTTTTCACAATCAAATTCAAGCTCAGGTCAACCATGCTAGCATTACTGCCTACATAAAACATTTGGGAAATCAGAAACCTGTAAGTAAATGTGCTTATTCAAATTTCTTACTACACTCCCTTATCTGTACCTTCACATAAAAAAACCTACTGTTTGCTCTGAAGAAAAATAGGAAGGGACACTCGTAAGAGAGTATAATATTTTTTACTGACTTTGCAGAGCAACTTTGTGCCACTGCTGGATCTTCTGAAATATAAAAGCATAAACTGTAACGAGTACGATTATTACTGAAAAGGAGGTCGGCTACACCCAGTAGGAAAATAATAGGGTAAACAGGCAAATTACAAGTATCATGCTGGTGGTAAACTGTGTTCCGTATACGTACATATATGCAATGACTACGCAGTAGTATCTGTCTGCGCAAAAGACTTTCGTACAAGTCCTAAAATCCTGCAGGTAACCAGCATGACAATTCTGGAAAAGTTGTCAATATAAAAGGGACTCTCAAAGCTGACTCATTTTTTAACTATAAGCTACTTTAATCTGCCCTTTAAATACAGCAGGAGATTCATTCTGCACAACCTTTTCACTCCGCAATAGTCTTTAAGCACTTACAAGAAATGGTTTGTTTTAAGGAAAAGAAATGTCCTTACCACTCTCTGTACTTTATCTTCCCCAAACGTTTCGTATACATTGGTGCAATACACACACAGGATGAGGAGGCTCAAAAGAAAGGCACTGCAGCTTGTGAATTCAAAGAAGTACAGTCCGCCACAGTTGATACAATCCTCCACAGCTGATACAATCCTCACTTCATGCAATCCTCCACACTTGATACAATCCTCCACAATTTCTTCACAAATAACAGCCAGAAGAGAGAGAATCTGCAAACAAATAACATGCTTGAGTTGGATCAAGTCTCTAATATCTTCAGCAAACAGACGTCTCTGATGTGAACATTAATAATGACAGCTGTTAAGGAAAATTCTCAATTTACAAAGAACCTGGTAAAATTCTGCACTATTTTCTTACAGGCAGAAATAATTATATAGTGACACGGTTTACACTTGCTATTAAAGTTGGTCAATAAAATACACTCAGGCAAGCTGAGCACACACCACCAAATATAGGCTTCTTGATTAGACAGTCAAGAGTCCCGATTTGTGGTTTTGTGCAATTGCCAGTTGGAAGCAGATGAGGCAGGCAGTGTGGGGAGCACACATCCCAGTCAGAACAAGCAAAAATACTATTGCTTACTACTTAAACTGCACTTAATTTTAAATGCATTTGGGTTCAGGACAGAGGGGGAAATTGGACAGTATTGACACAGTCAGCTACCTCCCTGAAAGTTAACAGCTGACGTTACCTCCCTTGATAAAACTTCAGAGAAAGTGCATGTAGCTAATAGCTCATCCGTTTACGACCCAGTAACGACACAAGCTCAGCTCTGCTTGCAGGAACCACAACTTTATGTTTAAACTATGTTGGACAGCGTTTAATCTATACAAAAGCTTATGTTCACCTTCCTGCCACAGTATGTTTGAGGAAAGAACATGAGTTAATTCCTGTACAGTCACCATACACCTGCTGCTGGATTTTCTACTATTTTATTCTACAAGAAAGAATATTGCTTTATTTAAATTCTCTCATTTTGGCCACTTCTTGGTAGTTTCCTTCATCCCATAAAGCTGACACAGGATTATAGATCCTTGTAATACGGAGTTCACTAGATTAAAACAAAACCATTAGTAGGAATCAGAGTCAGTCACAAAATTGAGACTGATATAAGGATGCTGATCATATTTTTAGTAAGAGTATATGGGCAATAAGGAGGCTGACAGTTCTTCTTTTAAAAAAATAAAAAATAAAATTCTAAAATTCAGACTTGTTCTTGGAAAATAACCACCAGCCTTTGGTTTTAGTTTTCAGACAGTAAAAATGAGAACAACAATTTAGCACGTGGGAACTGTAAATTCCCCCTGCTAAGCCAGAGCTCAGAAGGGCGCTTCAAAGCATCATGTTTTGAAAATGCTGCAATCATATAAAGTAAACAGGATCTCAGGAAGGGAAAGAACCTGAGCTGGGAAACTGCAATATTACTATCAGGCCCCCACATACTTCCTTCTCTCCCGCAGCGGCTGGCAAGGCAAACTTCTCAGCAGCCCTCGCACTTAAAACAGTGACTACCGGGGCTGTCTGAGGAATGTTTTGAACTCTGAATTTGCAATTTTTAAGTATTTTTTTGCACTTCAAAAGATTTGCTTACAGCTGTGCCAATGACTTTGAGTTTCACGTTTTTCACGAGGTCAGCTAGTGTGAGATGTTTTCATGTATAGTCCTAGCTCTTTTTATCAGCACTGAAAACTGAATGCCATCACGTTCACCTGGGATGAAACAAAACAGAAAGGAAATAAACCTGCCCTTAAGATAATTTGTAAGCCTAGATTAACCATAATATGATCTAAATAACTGAAAAAACCCTCTCCTCTGAGTGTACAAATAAGTAGAAAAAAATCCCATTCAAAGAGTAGCTATAAATGGTTCAGTGTCAAAAAAATTAGATTTACCAAGTGAAGTCCTATGTGGGATTTGTCCAAGTCAATATTCAATTTTTTATTAATTATTAATAAGCTGAATAACAAAACAGAGTACATCATTAAAAAAGCTTTGGTTTGAAGAACTTTAATCAAAGTGGCGTATCAACAGCACATTTATAAGCTGCCAGAGAGTTCTGCTTGGGTTTCTTAACCTGCTTCCTGATTATCACTATGAGAAACAAAAGGGATTACTCGGTTGTCCTACTACAAAAAAAATAGCTTTAAATAGCACGAAAAGAGTAGTTCTAAACTTCAGTTTATAGAGTTACAGCTATATAACATAGTAAGAAGTTTTTTCGAGTATTAGCCAGAAGATTATCCTCTCTATTACTCATCTGCATTTTAGTAATATCCCGCTATTAGATACAGTATAAATACATGAGCCGCTTTAAACAAGCCAGGAGATTCCACATTTCATTCAGCTTCCCAAGAACTGTTCTGCCAGAGATCCAGCTTTGTCCCTCAGCGTTAGTCCTGGCAAAAGCGCAGACCTCTTATATGAAGCAGCCAAAGCTCCTTCTGTTTTTTCACATCTGCCTTCTCCACACCAATCCCATGGGGAGACCCTAGCAGCCGATGCCCAGACTATCACTACCGCTTCTGTTTGAGCCTTCAATAACAAGCGAAGAGGGGCAGCTCAGTAGTTCCTCATTTTCTTGAGATCTAAACCTTCTGGGTAGATTTACTTTCACCCTGAAGCCCAGGGTAATACTTGAAGATAAAAGCAGGCAGCCACCGCCACCTTCCTTCCCCTCTCACCCAGAGCCCTGTGCCGCTGGCGATGCAGTGCCAGCGCTGGTGGGCAGGCAGAGGTGACCCAGCAGGTGGGTCAGGCATGGTTCGGAGCATGCATGGCTGCAGAGAGGCACAAGAGGACACAGGCAGGTTGGCACCAGGCTCGCTGGTTCCTGCAGGAGCATCCACACCCCGCCATATGCACGCACTGCTCGCCTTCCTGTGTGATGTAAAGGGAGAAGCAGCGTTGGAGGTGCGGTTTTTAACTTTTTCTCTTTTTTCTTGTTAATTATTATTCCTATCTGTCCGTATGTACACCAGAAATTAAACATCTTCAGCTGCCCCTTACCAACAAGAAGTTATTCATTGATACTGACATCACTGTTGGAAGTTTGTACACAAACGTCAAGTTTCTAGATTTAGTAAGTAAAAGGTTACAAAAGAATGCTACAAAAATAAAGATCAATGAACTTTCCAACAGGCTTGTGAAAATGCTGAGCAGCGGTATTCCCAGTACAAAATCTTCAAGTTCAGATGGGTGCACATAGAAATTCTTTAAGTGAACAGTTCAGAAAAAAAACAGATGTTTAAGACTAAGTCACAGTTTTCCTTGCCAGTAAGAGCACTTTTGTTAAAGTGAAACAATGGTTGATGACAAGTATTTCTGCTTTAGATAAGAACTCATTTTTACCTCAGTCTTGGCACAATGTGTTGTGCCATTTACCTTTGTGCAGTATTTGAATGAGTAATGGACTAATAAAAACATTCCACCGTATAAAAGAAGAAATTAAAATAATCTAGAAAACACTGCAATAAGCATACCTCCCAGCATCCTTTTGGCAGTTACATTTTCCTTATTTAATTTGCCCAAAAAACTTTAATAAAGCAGGCTAAGATTACAATGTATGCCATTATTAATCAGAAGAAAAGCATTTCTAAGGTCTAGACAAACCAGTCCTCTGCAGGTGATTTCACAGTGTTTTGTAAAATCACTTCTGTAATGAAGACAGCTGATTTTCTGAGTGCAATACCCTGTTAAACAGTCCACATGAGTGATTATCAGCGCGTAATCACAATAACAACTCACAGTTGCTATTGTTACACAAGGCTAATAGATGTTAATCACCATCACTGGCATTTCCAAAAATCAACATTTTCACAAAACACACAATTTCTCTTACTGTAGACACTGAGGCTTCCACCTTCAGTAATACCTGGGACTTCCTTAAAGTGTTTTGACCAAGAACTCCAGATCCATGCATTTTAGTGAAGGGAAAGAAAAAGGGGGAGGAAAGCAGCTGGAAGTTAGGAGGGTGAACCAATGTAATTCCATTTTCTTTTTCCTCTTGTTGAAGGACAGGTACAGGCCACAAACTGTTCATTCTTTAGGAGCATATCAAGCAGCTCTCCATCCTGTTTAGGATAATCATACATTTCCTTCTTCCTACCTAGAAAGCTTTTTAAATAATGCCTCTGTTCAGGTAAACAGTTTAAGACTTGGGTAGACCAGTAAATTTGTGTATGTAATAGTTTATTTTGGTCAGTGAAACTACTTATATAAATGATCTACTTGTCTGGGAGCAACAGCCAGCAGATCTTACTTTATTCATCTCTAGCAGATGAATTAAAAGTTTATGTCCTATTATATTTATTTATTTAAAGCATTCTTGAGTGTGAATTTTTAAATACTCTTAGAAAACATTTTTTTTGGCAGCACTACCATTGCCAGCACTCAGGAATCTTATGTTTCTGGTTGAGGATTTTGACTGTGTGTGAGAAAAAGTTTAAAAACCGTATGCCCTCTTTTCTGCAATGGTGGAGTAATGAGAAAGGGTTGGAAATCACCTACAATTCCCATGAGCATGAGACATCTGTGTGAAAAGCCACTTTGCTGGCTGGAAAATGTACCCCAACACACATTTTCAGCCAGCTGCCCTTTTCCACTGTCAGTTTCACTACCTCCCTGCCAGTAATTAAGAATCGTGCTCCTTGTGTGCTTACCAGCAGTAGCACTGGCACATTTTGGAAGAACCCATGGCCACACACAGAACAGACAGGAGTCTGAATCGTGCAACCAACTGCTGAATGTGGTTGGGAATAATGTTACACGTAACAAAAAGCACGCAGAATATAACACTTTTATTTCCTGGTGGGCATGGAACTGCCCAACACGAAGTGACGCACTGCGATGTCTCATACAGTGGGCCACCATCAACACCACACGTTTCTGGTGCAATTTTCTACCGCGAATCATGGGAGAAATGAGTGCCCCGATTCTAGCAGGGACAGCGCGGTGCGATAAGCTTACAAACGGGCTGCAGGTACAGCAGAAGAGGGAGGTCCGGATCTGATAACCCAGCAAGCCCTTCCCAGTTCTACTGCCCAACCCTGAGGTTCAACCAAAAGCTTCTTCTGCCTCCTGTTTTCATACAACGTGGCCCTCAGAAGAAAACATTATGTTTCCTGTGAGGTTTCCTCCTGATTTTAAACCGTAAGGACAGCAGGTGGCTGCACCGTGCCAGCTGCAGCACCGAACCTTGGTTGAGGGCCACACGCAACCATCAGATGTCAGCACCTGCTCCTGCAGCCAGAACGCGAAGAAGGAACAAGCCGGTCACTTCCCCACCATTAACCAACCTGAACCTGTAGAGGCGAGGGTATTGTAAGACACTCCGCCAGCTTTCCAGCTGAGATACAAGTCTGCACAGCTTTAGTGACCCACAGCAAAGGCGGGCTTTGCCTCTGCTGCGCCCGAGGCCGGGCTTTCTGTGGGAGCCAGCCCTTCCCTGACCGACAGCAGTGACTCCCCTGAGGCCTGTGCGCCGCCATCTCCCCCAGCCTGCGCCTCGCCAGTCAAGAGTTTAATTTTTAAGCGGCGGTGTGCGTGTTGCCCTAAAGCCGGAGGTCACCATAACACTCTCACCTCCACATC